CATTTTAAAGCAGCTTCAGCTGTGCTTGGGAAAGGCCGTCTTGTAGTAAGTAATATACGCCCTCTAGTGGATGAAATGGAGAAGAAAGTATTTGAGTTTTAGGGCTAGTTGAGTTCAATCTCTGAGCGCTAATTCTGTTTTCTGGCTTAGATTTCCCCCAAAAATGTAACACTTTGAGGCAAAGCATGGTAGCTCATGCCTGTAATCTCAGTACTTTGGAAGGCTGAGACAGGAGAATCACTTGAGGTTAGGAGTTCCAGATCAGCCTGGGCAATATAGTGAGACCCTATCTATACCAAAAATTTTAAAAGTAGCTAGGTGTGGTGGCACACGCCAGTAGTCCCAGCTAACTGGGAGGCTGAGACAAGAGGATTGCTTGAGTCCAGAAGGTTGAGACTGCAGTGAGCCATGATCCCGTCTCGCTACACTCCAGCCTGGGCAATAGAATGAGACCACAATGTCAAAACAAGAAGGAAGGAAAGGAGAAGAAGAAGAACAAACACTTTGTTATGTTCAATTTACAAAGGCTCCAGCAAGCAGTGTATGAATTTTCCTTGTGGTTTAATTTCATCTCTGCTGTTGTCTTTTTCTGCCATCATGGTTCTCTTCATCTTTAACATCAGTCAGTCATCAAATATTTATCGGCTACCTGCCGTGTGTCAGGCATAGCTCTATGCCCTGGGGATGTAGCAGTGAGTAACCAAAATAATTCAAAATCCTGTGACTGTGAAATTTAAAGCGATATCAGATGATGATCATTGTGTGGTTCCTACATGCCAGACCACATAGTTATTTGCAATTATTATTGAACTGAATGCCCAACAACCCTGTTCGAAACCTGAGGCTCTTAGGCCAGGCATGGAGAGGCATGCTTGTAAACCCAGTGCTTTGGGAGGCCAAGGCAGGTGGATCATCTGAGGCCAAGAGTTCAAGACCAGACTGACAAACATGGCAAAACCACATCTCTACTAAAAATACAAAAATTAGCCAGGTGTGGTGGTGGGCGCCTATAATCCCAGCTACTCGGGAGGCAGAGGCAGGAGAATCGCTTGAACCTGGGAGGCAGAGTTGCAGTGAGCCAAGATCACACCATTGCACTCCAGCCTTGGCAACAAAAACAAAACTCAATCTCAAAAAAAAAAAAAAGAAAAAAAAAGCGGGGTGCAGTGGCACACCTGTAATCCCAGCACTTTGGGAGGCTGAGGTGGGCAGATCATGCGGTCAGGAAATCAAGACCATACTGGCTAACACAGTGAAACCCTGTCTCTACTAAAAATACAAAAGCTGGGCGTGGTAGCATGTGCTAATCACAGCTACTCAGGAGGCTGAGGCAGGAGAATCACTTGAACCCAGGAGATGGAGATTGCGGTGAGCCGAGATCCTACCACTGCACTCCAGCCTGGGTGACACAGTAAGACTCTGTCTCAAAAAAGAAAGAAAAAGAAGGAAAGAAAGAAAGAGAAAGAAAGAAAGAAAGAAAGAAAGAAAGAAAGAAAGAAAGAAAGAAAGAAGAAGGAAGGA